AGCACAACTATAATGACGTGGGAAAATACCTGAACAAAGCTGAATACCATAAATATATGTACTGTATATACATACACAAAGACAATGTGAACTGCAGGGATCATGTTTCCCTGGCATTTTTCTTCCAGTTGCCCCACAAAAACACATTGCAGATTTCAAGGAAATTTATTTAATTTCTATGGTCACCCATCTCAACCAAATGATTCTAGGTGGCTTACAATTCTAAAACAATAAAGCACTTAAAACCAACAGAAACAATCCAAAACTAAATATATACAGCGTATATTACAACGTATCTCCAAATTTGGCTTTGTTACTTCATTTTTGAGAAAAATACGTTCCGCATCCCGTTTTACTGTTAATTTCATATTATTCCTGGTTTTAATCCTGGTCTGAGAAACCATTTCTTGGCCCAGGGTGTTGGTGAGTTCTGATTTAAATTCAATTCAAGCCCTAAAACAACAGAATTATGGAAAAGAAGATGTAACTGAATCAGTACAACAAACTGAACCAACTCTCTTAGGGAGTGTTGTCCATATTACAGCTTTAGAAGCAGGGACAATGCACGTTGTTATTGGTTATCTTCCCTTTTTCAGTTACTAGCTGCTTTCATAATGAAAAGCAGGAGCTGTTGGCTAGAAGTTGTATTCTTCCCCTCCTTTGCATTCAGCGTAAAATGTGTTGGTTACCAGATGCCTGGAAGGAATTTCCCAGGTTGACTATAGCCTATTTCTCATGCTATCATGTTTTCATAATGAAATAGAAAGCAGGGCACATTGGGGAAGTGGTGTCCTGTTAAATGCATTCAAACTAGCTCTGCTGGCTCCATGCCATGCCATCAATAAATGATTATGGCTTAGCCTACACTCAACCAGCTCACAAAAGTCCAGAAAATGTAACAATTGGATCTCAAAATTGGCATGAGACAATTCAGCACGACACAGGATTGAGACTGTTCACATGTTTCTGGGCTCTCTTGGCATATTCTTGATATAAAAAAAAATTCAAACTACGAATAAAATGGTATAATCATAAGATCTGAACATCAGAATTGAAAGATAATGCCATATACCAGTTGTTGTGATCTTGGCGATTATTGGCCCACTGGCACCCATCCACAAAATCTTGAATGACACTTTGAAAATCTGCACATTGACAAAATTTCCATTTGACAATTACAAAAGACAACACTGCTTGGATCTGCATATGTACTACACCAATACACAAAGATATCTAGGTTCTTGGGAAGCCAAATCCAGTGTAAGCATCTGATTGACTGTGCAACCAGCCATAATAATAATTGCTGAGAGATGAGAGATACCTAAATTAGATAGATACTGATAGATTCATAGATTGATTGATTGATAGATGGATAGATTGATAGAAAATTTCTTGTTGTTTTGAGTTGGCTAGAAACCCTAAGGCCTGCAATTCCAATATCTTTGGAAGTTCTTGGGTTGGGGTAAACTGTGACTTTTACATTGTGCTTTTAAAACTGTTTTCAAATTTATTTTATTTTCCCTATAGTCTGCCTCGTACTTTATAGATCGGTATAGCCCAGAGGACATTGTAATTGCTAAAATAAAAGGCAATGCCAGCCTGCTCTGGAGCATCAGTCCAGGGAATCGGAAAGCTATGATCGCAGAGCTCTCCAATTCCTCTGCAGTTTATGTCAACTTCCACTGGACACTTACCAGGTAAAAGAAAAACAAAAGAAAGTATTTTATGCACATATTGAAGCCAGCTTAGAAAATGAAATACAGTCCTTAGTTATTGCATTAATTTCCTTACATTGTGGCCTGGTTCCCATGTTTATTAGGTTCTTTTTAAACCATAGATGGTTAACAAGGGACCCTGGTCTGGTTCCTCTGTAACACTAAACAACGTCAAGCAGATTCAGAGGCATCTTTGTACTTTTCTAAAAAGGATGAAACCAGTATTGTGCTATTGCAACTTAAGCCCTGCCTCTTTGTGAACATTGTATATGCAATGTGCTGATCTATGTAGAAGAGGTGGGGCTTGCATTATATTCATGTAATGCTGCTTCCATCATTTGTCTGCCCTTGACCCTGTCTACAAACATCTTGAGGTGGTTTCCCAAATTCCACTGAAGCCAAAGCAATCATATTATGTTGCAGCATTAGATGTACATCAGACTCGTAATCCTCCTCTAAGGCAAATATTCTTTTCCAAAAAGAGGCACCCTTCTTAAATCCCTATTCGTTATGCTTTCACAAATATGTACAGTCCAGAAAATATCAGAAAGATGCATCAGACCTTCCCCAAATGGCTTCTGTGATGTCAATTTAAGATTATTGTTCATTTCCTTATGAAATCAGGAATGCTTCTCTTGTGACAAATATTGAAGCATCTGGCGTACATACCATGCGATATGGAGAGAAGGAAATAAGGGATCAAATCATTCACATGCTCTCTGGGACTCGGACTGAACCAATGTAGGTAGTATTTTTTGTTTTAGTCTAAATCTAAAAGTTCACTCTGGCCAATAACCAGGAATGTCTGCAACAAGCCAAGGTGGTGATGCAATTGCATGATCAAATAATGCAATATCATTATTAGATTTTTTGGGGAAGGCTATTTTTGTATTTCCAGTGTTAAGGCTAATGCTTCTTGGGTTTCAGATTCAAGTTTATAATTGTTTTTCTAGCTTTAGGCACAATGTTTCTTGATCTGGATGGAGAAGATACAACATTTTTGCTCCACTTTAGGCAGTAAAATATGTAGGCGGGATGATTGTGTTTAAAAAATGAAATTCAGCATTAGCATTGGTTTGGAAGCTTGTAAAAATAACAATGTTATTCTTTTCTCCCTCTCAAGTATACTTCCTGGTGTTCTACCAAAATATCTCAGAGCAACTAATCAGGCAGATGCTAAAATAGCAAATAGCTTGAAAGTTGGTAAGTTCTATGATTGGCAGATTAACATGTGCTGTCTACTTTGAGAAACTGTCCTGTAATCCAATTTCTAAACTGCTGTTAAGAAACAGACAAATTTTATAACGGTTGCTTGGCTGAGTAGAAGCTGGGAGAAGATATAAAGCCTTTTTTGTATTTAAAATCAAATACATATGCTTACCCATCATAGCTAGCTAGTTCCTATGTTTTGAAAAAAAAAAAGAGTATTTCACATCACAATGAGCTATATTTGTTTGCTTGGATTGGTTAGGGGTTATTGCAATGCATGAAAATCATAGTCAATGTTTAACATCTCATGTGAACTAGATCACTCTAGCTTAATTAGCAAACCATGGTTAAAACAAATTATAATTTAATAGAATGGACGAGTCCAGTTGTAGTAGACTACATTTTTCCTGTGTTTTGAAGCATTTGGTAATAATTGCACACAAATAGGGGGATGCTAGTGTGCTCTATAGTTTTGACTGTACAATCAGAAGATAGACGTGAGTGTGCAAACCACTTTTGACTGTTCATACATAATATTAAATCATCATTTTCAATTGAATAAGTTATAATGCCCTAAAAACCCTAATAAATGGTTTCACATATTCATATGAAAACAAAACAAAATAGAGTCAATTATAGCTTAGCATTATACACAGCCTAAAGCAGTGTTTTTAAAATTTGGCAACTAAGATATGTTGACTTTAACTCCCAGAATTCCCCAGCCAGAACCCAGTGTTTTGCTCCCTGTCTTATTATAAGATGTAAATAGAATTGAGAGCAGCACAGGCATCTGTTCTTTATCAGGGAGAAAGTGTGGGAAACAGAAATTAACTTGCTTTCAACAGTTCATTCCCAGAAGGTAGAAGACATTGATGCAATGGCCTTCTTCAGAAATATAACCATAAAGCTGCAGCGCTTGCCAGACAAGTCTTCAAGTCACGTTTCTGAATGGTGGATTGTTAAAGAGCAGATACCTCTCTGTTTGGATAACAGATGCAGCAAGAATATGGAGATTATAATTTGTAACGATAAAGTTAGTCCTTCTGGCCTGGGATTCATCACTGGATATGGGTAAGGATAGTAGAGCCAACATTTCCTGCTCTGACTCCCTAGTCAGCCATTGACAGAATTGGAGTTAAATGAACCTGAACGCCGCCAACTTGAGGAAGTTGTCCTAGAGCAGGGGTGTCAAACTGGTGGCCCACAGACTGGATGCATCAAGCGCAGGCCCTGCCCACCCCAGTTTCATGAAGGGGAAAAAATGTCACAAAACGTCTCTTGACGGCAATGTGACACCACGAGTTTGACACCCATGTCCTAGAGATTTAGAGTTTTCTTGGTAGTCATAGCCCACACTTTACAATGTTTTGAGGTAGTGCTATAGGTGGTTGATCCAAATATGCAAACGGAGTTGGCAACTTTCTCAGAAACTAATGAGAACATCAAAAAGAAATCTCATTATATCACCAATCTTATCTCCAATGTTTTATTTATTCACAAGCTGTAGCACGCAAGCCTTAGAAGTGTTCTAAGTTTCCCACTATGTACAATTTCAAAAAAGGGAGCAGGAGTTGTCAGTTTTTTAAATTATAATTGTTATTTTTATATTGTATTTTACACCAAACTGCTAGCTAATCTGTGATTAAAAAACAAGGGTTAACTTTAAGTACTAAAAATCTAGCCTCTTTAAAGCCTTAGAATAGCTTTGCTCTAGAATAAAATCCTCTGGGAAAACCCCGTTTAGCAATTTACTGAACATAGCTTTTACTTATATTCACTAATAGGAAGCACTGCACGACTGGTTTCATCCTATACTGGAACTCATCAGACATAAACAGCCAGATTTTATTCTGTGAGGTTTTAATACTTTACCAGGAATTGAACTCGTGGACTGTTCCACTTTAAGACTTTATACAGAAACCATCCAATGTTGTAGGAAGATAGTCTGTCAGAATGGTATATAAAATCCATGATCGTTAAACTTCCGAGCAGATATGGGTGTTACATTATGTCATGCCTCTACATATAAGACTGTTTGATTAGTTCCAATACAGCATGAAATAGGTGACTATTGCCTCCTGCATCCCATAGTATCTACATTTTGTAAAAATAGGAAAAATTCTCCAAGAGAAATTAAAATCATGTAAACATGGGAACATGACCTAATGTAACATCCGTGTGTTTTTGCTTTGAGAGCTTAAGGACAATGGACTGTATATATTATTTTGATATAGTTTTTGTGGTTAACTGTCAGATTCAACTCTTGGATAGTTGATCAGGGTTAAGATTTCACTTGCCCAGGAAGCTCAGTAATTCAAAGGCAGGACACACATACAGATATACAAATTTGGGAACATATGAGAAAGAGTTTGGGATATAGCGACTTGCCTTGGAAGAGAAGTTCAGAGGACCAGAAACAGGAAAATGCATTTCAAATCTTACACTCTGAAAATAACCTTGGCTTTTCTCTTCTCCAAACACCAGCATTGCCGGTCTCTATATGTCGTTTGTTTTGGTTATTGGGAAATTCATCCGACAGTATTTCAATGGTCTCTCACGTTCCATCATGTTCGAAGAGCTGCCCAATGTGGACCGCATCCTGAAACTCTGCACAGATATCTTCTTGGCCAGAGAGGCTGGAGAATTGGAGCTAGAAGAGCAGCTTTTTGCTAAACTCATTTTTCTGTACAGATCACCAGAAACAATGATCAAATGGACCAGAGAACGCAAGGAAAAATAAAAAGCAGCTTGGATGGGAGATTACCACTAAGAAACTCTACAAAAAACAGGGCCTGCACTTGGGAGTTGGGCATCACTTCACAAGACATCAAGGCAATGTTGTTTTGGTGTATTGAATATTTAATCTACATTGTGGAGGTGTGCAACTACATGTAAGATTTAATATCCAGGGTGTGATATGCAGTTTTATATTGCACAGAGATTGGAATTTATAATGCTGTACAGTGATTTGGGCCAGGGGAAATCCTCAGTAAATGTTAACTGCTCCTATGATCCCACCCCCTTTTAATTGTATGCAGTCTGATTCCAAATTACCAATTCAATTCAACAGGGTAGTAAAGTTAGCAATGAATTAGGAATTATGTCTTTGTCAAATAATTTTGGCATGAACAAAATAAAATGTTACATAGGCATACAAATAAAATAAAACACAGAATGACTTTGCCCTAGGAAAATAAGTGTCTGCCTGAAGGTTAAAAGGTTTTCTAAATAGTGACAGCACTTCAATAATAGAACCAATTCTATCTATAAAGATAGTAACTCCCTTTTGCTGGATATATTCAAGCAGAGCATCTGTCATAAGTGCTGCGATTCCTGCAGTGGATGCCTAGTTGGATATCATGGTCTTGGTAGTCCTTACTCATTGACACTAAGGTTTTAATGTTAGTAATGGGTTAAAAGACAGAGTGACTTTCCCAGCATGATCCCACTTTAGGCCTTTGACACAAAAGGTATAATAAAAATGCATTCCAGCCAATCCAGCTCTTTGTTTCCAGAAAAGACTGGCCAACCAGAGACCCCATGGAGGTTCCAAGAAGAGCAAGAGAGATTGCTCTTCTTGGAACCTCCATGGTTTCAATTGCTCTCCTGACTTACTCATGAGACATTAACTGCTTCAGCTGCATTTAGCTGCCTTCCATCAATATAGCAATCTGTGTATCTTCAATGCTTCCATAAATATCTCTACCACCTTTGGAACACCTTCAGGAATTAGCCAAAAAATGCACTGTAAATCTGATTTAAAAACCCAAACAATGTTGAAACAAGAGAAGCTTTATTCTGGCGTGGTTACCTCCCACATGGTCTTTAATTCTAAACATTAATGTAATTCATCAGCACAAGCATGTTAAGAACTTCATGGAGATGTGCACTGGGTCACACTAATAAAATAATCATGCAAGAAAAGCATGTGGGGGAGTATTTTGTTTAAAGCTTATTTTTAAAGAAAGAGATTAAGGCTTCCATTAATGTCGTGGGATACAGCAGAGTCCAAAGTGATTGTTATCCCACGATTGCCATCTTACAACTTAAGCAGGTGTCGGGCTTCACATTTCCCAGTGTGATGCAGGGCAAGAGAGACATTGTTTCTTCCAAATCTTCCCTCTTTAGTTCCTGCTTACCGACCTGCAGGGGACAAAAATTCAGGCTGAGATGTCCAAGAAGCAGAATGGCTGGAAACAGAGTGCCTTTAACCATGAAGTATGTACTTGGTCACAACTTTAAGATGTGTGGACTTTAACTCCTAGAATTCTCCAGCCAGCCAGGTTGAAGTCTACACATTTTAAAGATGCCCAGATTGAGAAACACTGGTCTAGACTAGGGGTCACCAACCTTTTGGACTTCAGGGACCACTAAACTTATAATTTTAAATCCTGCAGACCAGAGACCCTTGGAAAATCCCTCAAAAAGTCTGCAGGAAGATTCCCCACCCTGTATTCCTACAGAGCTTTATTTGGGATCCCATTTTTTTTTTTGGGGGGGGGAGGAGAGACTTTTGGCTTCATGCAAGGAAAGCAGCAGAAGCTGCAGAAGTCTTTCTTTCTCTTCTCCAAACTCCGCCAGAAATGAGTCTTTGCTGGTGCAGCCTCTTGGAGCAGGAGGCCTTGCAGGGTCCCCAAAGACTCATTTCTGGCAGAGTTTGGGGGAGAGAAAGAAAGGCTTTTGCTGCTTTCCTTGCATGAAGTCAAAAGCAGAAGGAGGTGGAAAGAAGCAGCCAGGTGGCCAGGTGAGGCACGTGGGGTGAGTGGGGCAAGTTCCCCCCTCTGCCTTTCCCCCCCTCCCTTCACTACCTCGTGTTGCTCGCAATGCGATGGAAGCCTGGTGTTCCTGAGGGCCATGTGGGCGGTGCAGCCTTGTGTTCCCGCACAGCCTGGATTAATTGCGTTGGGGGTGACATTTCACTGCAGACCACCAACATTTTCTCAAGGGCCACCCTCCCGGCCCACTAGTTGGTGACCACTGGTCTAGACTGTATGGTGACAACTGGGTGGTGTTTCCCCCTCTACTTTATATATTGTGAAAGACAAGGGGCTAAGGAAGCCCTGACAAGAGTGAGAATCCAGAAACCAACTAAAAAAAACTCTATAGGAAGTAAGAAATCAAGCAGTTGTTATTAATAGGCTCAGATAGTTTTTGAAAGAGAAGAGATGAGAAACATTTCTTGGCCCTCCTCAACAAGGGCTGAGAGCTGCAAAGCTGTTACACATTCGCAAAAAAAACTGTAATGCAAACCATTCTTAGAAACCAGTAGAACTGGACTTTTCATCATCAGGGAAAACCAGAATACAAGCAACCACAACTTTTGTGTCTATTTTCTTTTTACACTTGAAATGGCCATTTCTGACACATGCTATTTTAGGATTAGGAAATTGATCAGTGCAAAGTGAGGTAATTCTGGCATGCCAGCTCCAAAATAGGGAGAGGAGGGGAATTAAACTAAGCGCCGTCTCTTGCAATCTCTCCCCATATCGTCTTCTAAGGAGTCTCCGCTGCAGCCCAATGGTGAGACCATATTCAGCAGAGGGTCTTCAGAGGCACGTCCAAAGAGTGACAGCAACAAAGCCACACCATAGCCAGTGGCTCTTTCTCCCTAGAGGCAAACAGAAAGGCAGCTCAGATGGTTAGCCTTTGAGCCCAAAACACACACAAAACACTAGGAGAAAACTCTCAACACTGATGCCAAATGTCCATTCACACAAGCAGCTTGTTTGGGACTGGCTCAGGCTATTGTGTGAACCAAAACCACTTGGGTTTATTCAGTAAATTCTAGTTATCCAAATGTAGCATAAAGTGTGCACACGTGAATCTACAGTTACATTAAAAAAAAAGAAAATATAATGAAGCACATCTGTCAGCCAAACAAGTCCCTTCTTCTCAAGAGAGAATAAACTTTAGGGAAAAGGATTCAAGGAAGATGTAAAGACCAACCACCTGCTTGTTAAAAGAAGTAAAATGCAGAAAGCATCTGTAACATCCACAATATTCCATTGTAATTTTTTTCTTATTGTAACTTAGGAGTTACCACTGAAGAACAAACAATTGTTTAAATTCTTCCTAAAACTAATATAAAGAAATCCTACACATAACTCCCGAGAAGAATATTTTATAATATTTTCAAAGAATACAGCATGATTGGGTTTGCTGAACCCCCAAAAGACATCCATGCAAACAGCAGGGAAATCTTGAATGCTTTAAAGATTGATACAGGTAGTACTTGACTTCCAAGTGTTCGTTCAGCAACCATTTGAAATTGTAATAGCACTAAAAAGTGATTTACAACCAGACCAACTTCCCCACAGTCACATGATCATAATTCAGGCATTTGGCAACTAGAATGAATTTATGACAGTTGTGTGTCTCAGGGTCATGTGATCACCATTGTGACCTTCCCAACCAGGTTCTAACAAGCAAAGACAATTGGGGAAGCTAGATTTGCTTAATGACATGATTCATTTAACAACTGCAGTGATCCATTTAACAACCATGGCAAAGAAAGGGTTGTAAAATTGGGCAGAACTCACTTAACAACGGCTTTGCTTAGCAATGGAAATTCGGTTCCCAATTGTGGTCGTATATCAAGGACTATCTGTACCACATTCCAAAAGCCTTCTGCAAGCCTGTGTATTTCTTTAAGCAATGGAGTATTCCCAGCACTTGATTCAGGTGAGAAGCCTACAATTATCGCCAGTTATGATTTGAATGTACGGCTTTTAGTTTCCAGAAAACTGTCAAGGACAGTCTTAGATGCAACCAACTCAGCAGTCAATCCAGAACCATGAAATCACATAGTGAGACTGTATGTATTAATTAGATAAAAGAACAGAAAAAACAAATGGGAAAACAGTTACAGTGGACGTAACATTAGAGGGGGAAAAAAACCCTGTGTTTTATCATAATTGAAAGAAACAAACATTTATGTATCAGGAAAAAGTTTTTGTAAAGGACATAAATAACTGGGACAAAGCTCCAGAAAGACAAGCACCAGACAGAGCATTAAGAAAAATCTTCTTTACTCACCGCATGGACGGGAGCTGCAATGTCTATGTGGACCCAAACACCAGGCCAATCAAACCCGATGTGTGAAGCAATGAAAAGTCCAGCACAGGAGCTGGGGGAGTTATCCCGGTCCTAAAGAAAAACACAACACAGGGGAGTTGCCTTTAATTCATTTCAGTCTGCTTTAGAATAGCAGTTCCCAAACTTTGCAGCTTAACGGCTTGGGTGGGGGTGGGGTGGGGTGGAGAGACCAGACCCCATGACAGTGGCAAGCTGGCACACATATGCATGCACATGCAGCTCGACTGCAAGTTGAGCTTGCATGTATGTGCGCCAGCCAGCCACTTGCATGAGTCAAGGTGTGTGTGTGTGCACTGGCCCACCACATGTGAGGCCTGGTTGCGAACAGGCCACGGCCCGGCCGTGGCCTGTGGGTTGGGGACCCCCTGCTTTAGAACATCAAATTTAAAACTGAGACATGGACTTCTGCAGAGATGAGTAAATATACTCATCAGAGAATAGGAATGTGCAATATCAGCATTTGCAGGATGACAACATCAGTCTGCCATCACTGCAAAATGCTACAGTTTGCTATGGCTGCTAAAGCAGAAGAATCCTATAGAAGAATCCCATTTTCAAAATCCTTCAGGCAGTGTAGTTGGAGATCTGGAATCTTTTTTTCAAATTTTCCCCTTCCCCTGTCTTTTTTCATGGTTGGCCTTATACATAAAATAATCTGATTTTGAGGAGCCGTTAGCCCACACAATACTGGATGCACAATACATTTGCAAAGCTACTATCTAAAAAAAACAAAAACCCAAACCATGTTGTAAAAAACCAGAGGACAGAAAACAGCCTGGCAGTTGACATTACAAATTATAAATTGATAAATTATAATATTATAAATGAAGCAAACCTACTGCCACTGAGTTCTTCATGTCGGCTACAGCTGAGGTAAATTCACTAAAATGGAGCTCTGGGCAATAGACGAGGGGGTGAATCAGATCGCCACAGTTTCTGCCTGCTTTGATACAGGCCTGTTCCCACTCTTCATTATTGGTGAGGACAGCCGCGTGGTACTTCCCTGTGGCGATTCCCTAGAAGGGGTATAAGGGCAAAAGGTAAAAGCAGAAGTTATCTGAATGTGCACTTAGAAGTGTTTCAGCCAGATGCCTCCTCATGCACTGGGGTTAAGAGTTCCTCCTTCTTGTTCAGATGCTGAAAA